AAAAGAGCTAAAGCGAGCTAAAAGCGCGGCAGGGCTGCTATAGTTCCCAGTTATTAGAAGTTATTACAATCTATGTTTAAACCCTACAATCCTATAACTTAATACTCTTTATGGGCTTTCAGCGCCTAGTTTTTCTTCCCATAAATTGCCTCGATCGTTGTCTTCGTTCAGCTCTAGAGGGTCGACCGCGCTCTCTTAGATTTGGAATAGTATGTGCCCCATCTATTCTAACATTATGTATGGGGAAAGCATATTTTCTTAACCAGTTATGGCAGCAGCATTCAATGGCATCATACTCCTTTCTTTTGAGTTCTAATTCAATGGAAGTGCATCAGCGAAACCAAGCAAGAGAGAATTCGCTTTCTTGAGCAAGAACGCTCTTATCTTTTTCGATAGATTCAACTCCGGAGTGGAACCTCGCAGGATAGCTGAGATAGATCGGTCGAGTGGTCTCAGTTGGAGATGGGATTGCACGAATGGAGTTCTTAACTTACCACTTTCTTAGAGGAAGGAGTCTTTTTCAGTCAGGAGGGTCATTTTCAATATCAGAATGCCTCAACTAGATAAATTCACCTTTTTTACACAATTCTTCTGGTCATGCCTTATCCTCTTTCTATTTTATATACTTATATGCAATGATGGATATGGAGTACTTGGGATTAGCAGAATTCTCAAACTACGAAACCAACTGCTTTCGCACCGGGGGAATAATATCCCGATCGGAGACCCTAATTGTTTTGCAGATATCTCGATCAAAGGGTTTCGCACAGGTGTCTCCTATATGTACTCAAGTTTATTCGAAGTATCCCAATGGTGCGCTATAATAAGTTCCTTCGACTCTTTTGGAAAAAGGAGGATAATAACTTTCATTGAATCTTTAGGAGAAATTAGTGGCTCACGAGGAATGGAAAGACGGATTATCTATTTGATCTCGAAGTCCTCATATAACACTTCTTCCAGTCGGATCACTTGTAGGAATTCCATAATGCTAATCCATGTTCCACACGGCCAAGGAAGCATCTTTAATACCCCTTAGATTCTTTCTCGAGGAATAGAAGGCACTACAAGAAATCTTTCTCGAGGAATAGAAGGCACTACAATAAAGATGGACTCCTTTGCAATTCGCCCCCTTTACTAATAATGACTTTCAGGGTTCTCGAGATTATAAATCGTCCAGGCGTGCGGGAAGGCAGCGAGACCAAGCCAGACAGTTTAAGTAGATTGGGCCTTCTTTCACCTACGCTCAGCTACAAGCATAAGTAAGTTATTGCCAGTGAAGTTATGGAATAGAATGAAGTTATTGCCAGTCAGTTATGGAATAGGAAAGAATCTCTCCTGTCGCAATGGGTACCGAGAAAGACTGGGTCGGGTAAGCCCCGGAACTGCGCCTCTGTAATGAACGGTTGTCAGAGAAAAGAAGGAAGCAAGACGACTTACCTCTAGTCCCACTACATATCTATCTCTGTTGCCTCAGGATTCCCTCGCCAAAGACTAAGGAAGTGACCGGAGCCTACTTATCTGTTCGAATTCCCCGACTCCTTGACTTTACGTCTTGTCTTCTTCCTTACTCCTTTACTATCTTGCTTTACGTCTTCTTTCTAGTTCAAGATCAACTTCGATAGGCTCAAGTTCTTGATGCTCACCCTTCTTTGGCAGCCAGTTAGGGGGTTAGTTTCTCTTTTCACTATGTGATCTCCCTTACAACCTTCTTTTCTTTTTACAGGTTCTTGAAGCATCTTCGGATGAATAGAATGTCCGAGTAAGGAGAACCAGACTCACTTCTTTAGAAGCGATGGACCTGACCTTCTCTGAGATCGGAGACTTCGAGAGGCTGCCTTTAACGCAACTCTTTCCCAGACTATATAAGCTCCAAATTACATCATTAATTCCCTATTGTAAGAGTTTAGCTCAAGCTATCTGACATTGCCCTCCCTGTCCTAGATCATTAATGGTGCTAAATGAAATCACTTCCTTGCATTAGCGAATTGAAGAGGTGCGTAGCGCTCTTGAGAGGTAGTTATAACCAAGTCAGCAAAGTCACTACTAACCAAGCGGGCAACCAACTAATACATGCGGTAACTATATTCATTCTTATAGGTGTGTTATCCAAGTTGAAAGTCACTCACCACTTATAGGGAAAACTCACTTGAGCCAGATAATAAGGATGTTGCTAAGTAGTTGCTTGTACCATCTTATCGAGTCTACTTTCCTGTAACGGATTCTTCAGTTGAAACAGCTTCCTCTCCTTACGCAAACAGCGGATGCGGATTCTCTTTATACTGATTCTTGATACTTTACTTCCGCAGTTGACTTGATACTCTTCCTTGAACCCAGACTGTTTGAATATTCTATTGATGTCGTAACCCTTCCTTTCGAAACCTATGTAATCTTCCTTGCGCGCTGCTCCAGCTTCTAATCCATATATTGATTCAGCTTACTCCCCAAATCCTGTTTATGATCTGGTTTCTCCTCTCCCAAACAGGAATCCATCTTGCTTAGCGCCCGACCTCTGGCTCTCTAGCCCGATCTCTATACTTGAAGTGAAGAATTGGAATATATATCTTCTCTTGCACCAGGTAAAGAACAGAGAGAGTAAATACAAGACTTCCCCATATCTTGCTGCTGAAGATAACTGCTCTTGAAACGGAGTCTGGACCTGATCCAGCATAGCATCTTCAACAACAGAACTCTTAGACTTTCCAGTAAACCGTCCAAGCAACGTAGTTAAAGGACTCAACTGGATAGTCAGAAGAATTCATTGAATCTTTCTTTCGAGCGCATGTATATAAAGAAGTAATCTTACCGGACTCCACTTGCTTTTTTCCTTCTTTATACTGTTACCTGAGACAAACGGATTGAATTGCCAGGTCTGGTCTACCGCTCTGCTTCTTATAAAGATACCGATCAACCTCTTCTCTCTTATCGCCAACCAAAACTAAGATGAAACTCGCAAAGTGAAGTATAGACTTCCCGCTACTCCGATACTACGACTTATATGTGGGGCTGGGCTGTCAACCCGGATTCCGTTGATAAAGCTTCCTTACCTTCTCCGGCTTTATAACCAGATTCGGCATCTTATCCTTTCTATACCTAGCTAATTCCTCCCCTTCTGACCTAGGAGTCGAATTCTCACTTTATAGTTTCATAGTTCTAAATGGAATTCTTACTTATTATTAGAGGTTCACGAGAAGATTAGTTGCAAGATAAGAGGCGGGTGAGGAATAAGGATCTAACAAAAGTAGATGCTGTAGAAAGAGAAGAACTAGGCCCAACAGAAGCAGGATAACGATCTTAAGCTATAAGATGTCCTGTATAGGGCTTTGACTCACTTTATATGCTAGATGCTAGGTTAGATAGATTCCATTAATGATTAGTTTTCCTCTGTGCAACAAGAAACAACTGAAGCGCTAAGTCCTGAACCAGAATACGATTGATTTCCAGTTGCCTTACTTATATTACGGGTAGAATTGCCAGTTCCAGTTCCATTCCATTCTTTTCCCTATGCCTATGCCCCTACCTCGACTCTTGCTCTTATTTAGGAATATGCTTAGCGACCCCCTTCCTTCTTCCTTATAGTACTTAAGCTCAGAATGGAATTAGTTGACCCGAGACGAGAAATAGGGCTTTCACACCGGAACCAGATTGATAGTTTCATCCCGCATCGGTAGCTGCTTCATCTATTTCAACTAAGTCAGATCTTTCCACTACAGGCATCGCAGCTGACGCTGCCCTCGCATCAAAGGCCGAGAAACATAAGCAATATCAGAACTCACTCTTATATTGTATATAATAACAAACAAGAAGATCTTCTCTGCACTAAATTCCTGTTCGAGTGTAATCAAGAAAAGAAGCCGCCAATTACTTAAGGGCAAAGGTGACAACCCCAGGTATAATAAAAAGGCTATAGGAATAACAGGAGCAGTACGACTGTCGGGTAGGAATAACAGGACAGGTCCAGGTCGGTAAAGGTAAGTCTTCTGAATGCCAGGTATAGTTCGGAGAGAGGGAAAAGGCGGTGTTTGGGCAATGCAGTACCTTTTGAATTCTTTATTGCTTTTGCGGATTCTTTCTATTAGGAGTGGTCTTGTTGGCAGTGGCGACAGTCTATATCCCCTGAAGTCCATCCTTTGTAGCAGCAGCTCCAGTCTTGTTAGCAGCGGATCAGTCTTATTGGTATAAGATAATAGGAATGTAAGGCAGTAAAGTCATACTAATAGTAAGGGAAGGGGCGGGCCAACTCTCTAACTAAAGAACTCAGCTAAGGAGTATAAGAATGAGGAAGCAGACTAGCACTGGAACATAGGCTTTAAGACAGGAAAAGCAGAGACTTTCAAGCAAAGATAGGTGGCGTTAAGGCAAGGTTTATGTCAGCGGTCCCATGGAATCGAAGTGTTCTCCTATACATACATACAGTTCATTCCGTTAGCGGTTTTCTAATGGACTTGTGGAATTCCTATACTTACTTGTTTTCTTGCTTGACTCTATTCATCTTGCTTGACTCTATTAATCTTCAGATGATACTTTCACTATTGGTTGATCCGGATCAGTAGCTAACGAATGAGGAAGCTGCAGCCCAACTCTTATTGGTAGCAATGTCAGTTTGCAAATAAGTAGTGTCAGTTTGGAGGTAGAATGCAAGCCGGGGTTTTAAGGATTGGACGGTGGACCAAAGCTAGGCATTACAGTTGGAAAGCGAGGAGTTGAAGAGCGAAACTGGAGGGAATGGCATAATAGGCAGGTTGTTGGTGCCATAGTGGAATCTTTTAGATAAGAGTTCGGACTCGGGTCTTGTTTGGTGCTTTTGGGGAGTCTTGAGTTAATACTTATATGTTTGCTTCTTATCGGTGTTGGTTGAAGTATTAGAAGCGAAAGAGTGGAGCGGCAGTGTTGTTGGAGGGGAGTAAGCCTAATGAGCAGTAAAGTGAGACTCTATCCCCCGGGCGCGATGTGATATCTGTGTTTGACTTCCCCGTTAGTGGAATAAACCCCATAAGTAGCAGTGAAATTCCTTATGGGCCCACCAATGGCCATACTGAGAATTCTTAGGCAAATGTAGCTATGCCGATCCCTACGCTCCATTTACATTCTTTGACGTATAAGTTGACTTCTGTATTTATAGCTGTAGTCTTTAGGGCAGTGTATTAGTCTCCCTATTATGTATTTTGAGTTGAGTTCCGGTGCTCCTGGTGAAGTCTATCTTTTTGCCAGCCCAACTCTTGAACTTACTTATTTGATTCTCTATTATGAGATGGATAAAGTATGGCTAGGCAGTGGTATCCGGTAGTATAGTCCATTCTTTGATGCCTGTGTTCCTGTCTTTTTAGTAGCGATTCCATTCTTTCTAGTAGTATGAGTATTCTGATTCGTGGAGGTAGTTATTAAGCATCGGTGTAAATTCCTTATTCTAAGACAAGGTAATAGAAGGCATTGTTCTAGTTTGAAAGCAAGGGGGATCAGATTGGAGTTCCCAGCTTAATGCTTAGGAGTCAGTAGTCAAAGATTTGAACTCAGTGAATCAAACTCACAAGCAAGTAATCCAACTCGAAAGCAATAGAACGAAACAAAGTTGTAAAAGCCTTATTAACTTCACTAAGCAGTCCAGGCCTTACTCACCAGCTTGACGAGCCTACTATTCCTTACTGGAAATCCGTTTCAAACTAACAAACTACCCCGGCATTCAATACGGAATCTGACTTATATCCTTTACATATTGATGAACTATTCAGTGCCTAAGACAACCATCACTACTAGAGGAACCGAACCGATCTCAGAATGGAGCTCCTCGCAAATGGACTACAACTACCAACTAGTAGAATCAAATACAACCCCCAACAAAAAGGAATAGAGACATCAACACAAGAGAGGGGATCAAACAACTAAGTGGAAGTACTCGTCTGGGTAATCAAACTCTTAAGTCATAATTCGAGGAGTAGGCCAAGTAGACTAATCTCCTATCTGATACATAGGAATATGAATAGAAAGTCAGAATGAAACACAGAAGTATTGATCCAGTAGGGCTATTACTATGACTATTATGAGAATAGAATAGATAGCTAAGTCACTTACCTACTGTTCTATTCTAATATCAGTGAAAGGAATAATGAAACGCAGTTAACAGAATCCATTAAGAACACTGAATAATTACAAGCAAATGC